TGCCCTCAGCAGCGCCCTGCTCCCTGCACGACCGCACGCGCTAGCACCTTGCCTCTCAGCGCCAGCAGCAGCCCACGAGCGTCCGCTCCAGCAGCACTGCTGCCAGCATGCAAGTGCTGAATGCCTTGCCAGGCAGCGAGCTCTTTCCTATATGGAACGAGCCTGCCTATCTCGGCGGCCTGGCTGGCCTGGGCCTCTGCCCAGAAGCTTCCGGTAGGCCCCAGGAGGCTGTGCCTCCATTCGGTTGGGCCTTCCAACTGCCTGTGTATGAGGCTGCGATTCTCGCCCAGGGCCTGCATTTTTGGAAAGGCCTGGAAGGCTGTGGAACGTCTTGCTGCTCGGGCTGTGTTTTCTCTCAACCAACTGGCGCGTCGACACTGCCTGGACCCCAAATACGAAATTCACAGCTGAGGGCCTCTTGTGATTTGTTAGGCCCGCCTTCACTTAGGGTGGGCACATCTGCAGCAGGGGCCCCTTAGGCCTGCCGAGGACCCAGGATCCTCGCATTCCCTCCTTTTCTTCGAGTCCTCTGAGAAGTCTTCTAATGTGCAGGCATTTTCCCCTTAAGTTCTCTTTCATAGCCTGCAATAACTTGAGGTGTTGTTCGCATGAGTTCTTCTCTGGTGAACCACCGATCCTCGCTGGGATCCAGATGATGTCTGAATCTGACACGATATTGCATTCTTGGCTAAGGAGGGCGGCCTCTGCCCGGCGGTTTAGGCACTCGCATCTGCTCCACAATTCCGTCGATGTCAACTTCACCATCCATGGTTGGGGGCAGCATTGACCGTCTGGAAGGAAACAGTGCAGTTTCTGCGAAAGGTGCCAGCTTTGAGGCATGGAAAACTGAGTGTGTGCGTAAGTGAGGTGGGATGTGAATCATGTAGGAAGGTCCGTCTATCTGATCCCCGACTATGTCTAGGACCTCCCAAGGACCGAAGTACTGTGGCATCAGTTTGCGAGATATGCCAAGCTCCTGACCCAGTTCAGATGATTTGACCCAGATTCTATCACCTACCTGAAAGTTAGAGGGCCGTCTATGCTTATTTTCAGATGCAATCATAGCATCCTGAGACTTTCTAATATGTTCGTCGGCCTGCTGCAGCATCTGTTCATACTTGACAGCAAACTCTATGCTGCCAGGTGCTGTAGTGGGTTGTCTTTCTGGTAGCAGAAAGTCAAGTGCAGTTCTGGGCTTCCAACCAAGGTGCAGTTGGTTGGGAGTCATCCAATAGTACTGTGCACAGCGTTGTTGTACAGGCTGGCGACAAGAGGTAACTTCTCGTCCCAGTCATCCTGACTTCGCTTGATATAATGCCGACGCAGGTGCTATACTACTCCGTTCATCTGTTCTGCCTGGCCATTTGACTCAGGGTGGTTCCCTGACGTCATTTGTAGCTTGGTGCCCATTTGCTCAGCTGTTGACTGCCACAGTTCGCTGGTAAATCTCACATCCCTATCACTCACTATCGACGTAGGGAGTCCAAAATGGCAAACCTAGTTATCCAGAAACAGTTTGATGATATAGTCAGTTTTAGCAGTTTCCGGCATAGCGATAAGTCTTGCATACTTGGAAAAGCGGTCCATTATAACGAAGATGTGTCTCTTGCCAGTCCTGCTGGTCACAAGACTATCCATAAAGTCCATGGACACACTCTGACCAGGACCTTCACGAATCGGCAAGGGCTTGAGAAGCCCAAGTGGAGCTTGAGTCCTAGGTTTATCCAGTTGACAAACCTGGCAGGTTTTTACGTACCTCTTAGCATCTTGCATCATAGACGGCCACCAAAATCTCTGCAGTAAGTTAGCTGAAGTCTTCTTATAGCTGAAATGGCCAGTTGCATCATGACACTTTCCTAAAAATAAACTACGAAGAGACTCTCTATCCAGAACACAGTCTTTTATTCCCTGCCTTTTTAAGAAACAGCAAGCCATTTATCATCGTAAATTCGTCAGAAGTTACTTTATCCTTCTCTTTGAATTTATGGATGATCGCATACATAACTGAATCTTGTTGATAGGCTTCCACCAAAGATCGAGTTAAATCATCAGATATGTCAAACTCCGTCACTAGCGCGCCCAGATAATCTTCCCTACGTGATAGTGCATCAGCCATTTTGTTGTATTTGCAATCAGACTCGTTTTCATTCACACTTTACATGCATACATACAGTAGCACAGCAAACTGGTGACATGCGCCCACTCAGTACTCAGAGATATGGCAACCCAGATATGAGTTCACTTCCAATGGCTATGGCGATGTAGCGCCCATACAACTCTCTGTTCGCATACTGTGGATCACCCTGGATATCCCACGCACAACACTCTACTCACTCTCACACAGTCACACGCTGAACACCACTACAGCTATGGCGGCTATGGCCGCCTCTACCCTATAGCTATGACTAAGCTTCGTCTCTCTTGCCCACTTCGTCCTCGGGCTCACTGCAGACCTCCTTGCGCAAGTCGTTGTGGCAGCGCTTCCGCATGGCTCACGCAGGAATGAATGAATGGCTGGGCGCTGCGTCTTGATTTATACTTCTGAAGCTCGTTGGTCTGGCCCTTTCCCATGCCCGAAGTGCACACAGTCCATGCGGTACTTGCTTGACTGGACCAGGACTGTCTAGGACTGGGACTGCTGACTCAGCACGGGCAGACTCCACCACTAGCCTCACCACTTGCCCACTTGCCTCAGTCTAAGTGTGGAACACTCCGAAAGGCCACTTCTCAGACCTTCCGGAAGGCCGTGGACTTGGCCTTTCGGTCATGTAGCAGCTACGACTTTGACCCTTCTGGACTATAGTAGCTACGACCCTGACTCTTCGAGAAGGCTACAGCTACGACCTTTAGACCTGACTAGGACTCCTATCCGACAGGTCTACTGATCGAACCCATGCTACCTATGGACCCTATGACAACCTATCAACTGTTAAAAATACACAGGTCGCGGGTTCAACTCTACGGGGCGACACAGGTACTGTACACAGGTAAGGTGGGGACTAGGGATCGAGCCCTGTGATCTGCATCAGCTACTGCGAACTGGTGAATACCGTTTCATATTCTCCCTTAATTGGGTCAAGTTGATAGTCATACATGTCTATCACGTAAGTCCACCGCTTGAGTGGGTCAGAGAGTATAGGCTGTGTCTTGATCCAGTGCGAGGTCTCATGATGAGATCTCAAGTAGAACAATCTACCTAGGAGATAATGTCTCCAACGGACCAGCGCTCTATAGAGGGCATAGAGCTCACGCTCATATGTGGACTTTGGTAACTTCTGAGATGGCATCTTCTTACTCATATACTCGATGGGCCTCAACTTCTTCCCCTCCTTTTGCGCAAGGACCGCGCCTATGCCATACTGGCTGGCGTCTATGGTCACGACAAAGGGCTGCTCAGGATCTGGAAGTTTGAGAACTTCATAGTGTGTTAGAGCATACTTCAATTTCTTGAAGCTTGCTTCACACTCTTCAGTCCACTCCAGGGGGCGTCAAGGCGAGTTAGGCCAGTTAATGGGGAAGCTATAGTATTATAGTTCTTAACAAATGGACGGTAATAGCCCGTCATCCCCAAAAATGACCGGACCTCAGTACCAGTCTGAGGTCTGGGCCAGTTTCCTATGCTGGCCACTTTAGCATCATCCAACCTCGACCCATCCGCGGAAATTTCATGACCCAAGTACAGGATCTTGGTGCGACCGAACTCGCATTTCTCCAAGTTGACCTTGTACCGGTGCTGTCTTAGTAGACCTAGCACCATTTTTAGGTGTTCAACGTGCTCCTCTACAGTCTTACTAAAGATAAGAATATCGTCGAGGTACACGACAATAAACTTGTCTAAGTACTCATGAAAGATC